GGCAGCAGCTTGTCCTTTAGCCAAGGAGGCTTCTCCCAGGGAAAGCCCCAGCCAGGGCTCAGCTTGTCCCACAAGCCTGGGGCCAGGGGTGCTGAGGGGGGAGCCTCCCGCTGCCTGCGGGACAGCCCAGGAAGGCCACGGTCGGCTCAGCACACTCAGCACGGCGCAGCTGAAGGACACCAGGGCTTTGGGCACGTTGTTCCAGCTTTATTCAGCGCCAGTCCTTTAGCCAAGGCAAGCTGCACCTCTGCCGGGCTCACGGCCAGCAGCAGCGCAGTGCTCCCAGGAGGCCTCTTGGTCTTTGCTGCACGCAGGGACTCCTCAGAATGCAGGTTGTCTGAACTGCCAGGGAACTGACAGAGATGTCCCAATCTTTCTCCAAGGGCTGAAGTGCTGTGACGGAAAGAAACAAAGCCCAGATCAAACCCCCCGTCTGCAGAGAGCCTCTGGATTCCCGACAGACCGCGCTCCCCACTCACCGCTCAGGATGTCAGCCTGACTGTCCGTGGTCTGCTCCCTCAGGCGCCGTGTGATGAGTCCTGGGCACAGAGCTCCATTAGCCCCTGCTCCCCAGCCTGCTCCCAACAGCAGGGCCCCCAGTCCTACCCACCTCCCCCTCAGCACGGCTGAGCCCAGGAGCCCCCAGAAGCTCAGGGGAGTGGGACTGGGCAAGGCGACCACCAAGCCCCTCTGCGTGGGCAGGGTTGGCAGAGGGAGGCAAGGCCCTGCCCGGGCTGGCCGGGCATTGCTGGGGTGGCAGCAGCAGCACAGGGGCCAGGCTGCCCCAGAGGCACCGCAGGGGCTGGCACTCACCAATGAACCTGACGGCCGCCAGGCGCACGTTGGCCTGAGGGTCCTGCAGGTAGGGCAGGCTCTGATGGATGAAGGCTTCAACCCTGCTCCCACTCTTCTGAAGCTGCAGAGAGAACAAGGCATGTCTCTCCAGGGCTGTCACTGGGGCAGTTGGTTGGAGCAGTGCCTCCTGCCAGCACCCCCTGGGATGGAGAGGCGTCCCCTCCTGCTGTCTACAGAGAGGGGACAGGGGCCTGCAGAAGAGCCCCTGGGGCTCTGTTCTTGAGGGCAGCAACAGGGATGCAGCTCCAGGCTCTGCCCAGCTGCAGAGCCCCCAGCCCTGGGATGGGATGGGGGCAGCCCTCCCCCAGCCCGGGCTCCACAGCTTGTCCTTACCAAGCACGCTCCAAGCTCCCACAGCCGCTCTCTCTGCAGCAGGTGCTTGAGCGTCCTCCACTTCAGCAGCTCGGCAGCAGCAAGAAGGGCTTCCCTGGAGGCCTGCAGGACAGCATGAGCTCAGGGATGGCCTGGGGGCCTGGGCAAGGAGACCTCTTGGCTTTGTTCCTGGGGGGTTCCTGCCTTTAGGAAGCTGGGACATGCCCTAGCCCAAATGTCTGGGAGGCTTTTGGGGACAGCCCTGGGGGACAGGCATGGAGGCTCAAAGGCCTGGCCTCCAACACAGCCTGTGAGGATGCCCCTGTTCAGGCCGTGGTGGTCACGGGCTGCTGCCGAGCCCTGCAGGAGCAGGCAGGGCAGGTGTTGCACAGGGCCGTGCCAGCTTCTCTGCCCCTGCTGGCGCTGGCTCCGCACGGACCTTCCCCCGGGCTGTGCTGGGGGAGCGCTGCCCGCTGCCAGCAGCCCCTGCCCCGATGCCCAGGAGCCCTGGGGGTGTCAGCCCAGCCCTCTGTGTCAGGGCTCAGCCTCCAAACCTGTACCTTGGCTACGCCGGGGACCTGGTCGCTCATACGAAAGAGGAGAGGTACCAGTGCCCACCACAGCTCCTTCCTCATCCTCTTCTCATCCCTGCCGACCACGAACTGCAGCAGCTCTGTGAGCATGCGGATGGAGAGCTCTCGCAGCTCGCTGCACTCCTGGCAGGAAGCAGGAAAAGGGAGCTTTGCAAACAGCAGCTCCCTGCCCACAGTGAAGAGGGCCGTCATCATGGCTGCGGGGAGGGCAGCGGCTCCGGCCTCACATCCCAGAAGAAGCAGGACTGGGCTGCACGGTCCAGAAGCCATCCCAGGAGAGCCCAGGGGAGTGCAGCTGGCTCCAAGTGCTGCTCGCAGGGCTGGGCTGCAGGGCAGCTGTCATTGCCCAGCGCCCATCTGAGGGGTTCAGCTTTCACCTCAGCCTTACCGAGTCAAAGAGGGGCAGGAGCCTCCCCACAAGCTGCACAGCGATGAAGCTGGCCTTGGTCTTCTTCAGCTGATGCAGCACATTTCGCAAGGCCAGCAGGATCTTCATCTGGGCATCTTCGCTGCCAACTTGCAGGATCTTCATCATGCCCGGCAGGAAGAGCTCAATGTTTCTGGCCTGTAGAGAGAATGTCCATTGGGTGAAGAGGGCCGTGCCTGAAAAGCTCCCCAGGCAGCCACCCCAGGCTCCACCATGGCAGGGAGGGTGTTTGGAGCAGTCACCCCACGTTCTGAGTCCCAGGCCAGGCCAAGCCACTGCTTTCCACACAGCCCCAGCCCCCGTTTGCCGACAGGGCTGCCCCTCGCACCGCCCTGCTCACCATCTCGGCTCTCTGCGACAGCCCGACGAGCCCTTCCAGCAGCAGCCCGGCTGTCCTCATGTTTGGACAGCCCTGATGGCTCTCGATGTCGGGCTCGTCAGCCGACTCCTCCGACTCAGCCTTCCTGGAAGATGACTGCAGGAGCAAACAGAGCCGTGAGGGGCCGGCAGAGCCTGCAGGGCTGGCGGGAGGGGACCAGGGCCTTTAGTGGTCACTCACAGCCACGGGCTGGGTGCGGGGGCCTTCTGCGGAGCAGCGGAAGCACTGTGTGCACAGCAGGTTGGCAAAGTCCTCCAAGATCTTGGCCAGTGTCTCCGGCATGGAGGACATCAGCTCCCACAGCTCCGGCGCAGTGCTGGAAGGCAGAGAAGGCAGAGCGCTGTCAGCAGGGCTGCCTCGGCCCCAGTGCTGTGGCCTGGAGCAGCCCCCAGAACCTGCCCCTTGGAGCCCTGATTGCGCATCCCTGGGGGCCCTGCCCGTGCGGGCAGGACGGGGCTGAGGGCGTGTTCCCCGTGGGGCTGGAGCACCGGGCTGGCTCTGGGCTGGCTGGGCCAGTTTTGGCTGCTGTGAAGCAGGGCTGGAAAGTGTGGGGGGACGGAGGGCCTGACTCTGCAGGCTGTCCCGTAGCATTCCTTGGCTCTGGCAGCCAGAGAGTCTCGGGGTCCCTCTCCCCACAGGGAAGAAGCCCACCCTCAAGGCCATCAGGGCCAGTACCTGTCTCCTTGAAGAGCCGCCTTGCACAGGAGGATGACCACTGTGCTGGGGTACAGGTTGGTCATCAGGCGAAGGAGCGACTCTGCTTTCTCCCACGCTGCCTGTGTGCTGCAGTATGGCAGGCTCTCAAGGATGCTGCTGACTATCTTGGGCGCCTGCAGGGGATACAGGTGAGGATGGCACTGCCCCCGGAGTGCAGCCATGTGCTCAGTTGCCCTTCCCATTCCTCTCTGCTGCCTTGAGGTGGCTTGGGGGGCCCAAGTCCCCTGTGCTTGGGAAGGCGGGATGCAGGGAGGAACAGGGCCCAAGAGGGCTGAAGGGCACGACAATGCAGCCACAGGCCACTTACGTCTGTCAGCCAGACGACCGGGTCCTCCAAGGCCACATCCAGCAGGCTGCTGGGCACCTGCTGGTCGAGGATGCTGGCATCTCCCAGTGCCTCAATGGCCGCGAGGATGACATCTGTCCTCTCGTGGGACCGCAGGTATTTTCCAAAGGCCTAGGGCAGCAAGGAAGGAAGACGTGTTGCTCTGAGTGCCCTGATGGTGCTGCTTGGCTGAGCAGCTCGAGAGGCTCCGGCCTGATGTGCCCACCACTGCTAACAGCAGTGCCCACAGCAAAGCTGGCAGCAGTGCCTGCAGTCCCTGCATGGCAGAAGAGGAACAGAGAGGGCCCTCCTGCGGGGGGAGGAGGGCTCATGGGCACAGGCTGCTGGCCCCACCGAGAACCAGGGACTTGCTGGTGGCCAGGAGCGCTGGAGCTCCTGCCGGGGCTGAAGCTACTGCTGGGCCACTGGAGTGCAGCCCTCGTGCTGTCCCTGCTCAAGGACGGCACAAACCCTCTCCCCAGAGAGCTGAAAGTGCGCCAGCCCCACTGCTGCGGGGTCCTTTGGCTCACACCAGTGCCCTGCTGGTGCCACGGACAGGAGTCCCAGCAAGGGCACAGCTCCTTACCTTGGCACAGTCCCTGGCGCTCAGAGAACACAGCGCGGACGTGGTCACGGCTTCCCGGTGGACTTGGTCTGCTCTGTCCTTTAGCCTGGATTCGACTAAACACCGGGGCAAACACACAAGAGTCAGGAAGGCAGAGCAGCTTTGCCAGCAAGCTTACCAAACCGCCCTGGCATCTGCTGGCAAGGGGGCGGGACAGGAGCAG